AGGAGATAAGGATAATGAAGAAATAATATGAAAACAATTTGAAACCATATCACTCTGAATAGTAAGCTCGTCAGAAAGGTGTACCTGTAATCTTGAGGGAACTGATGCTCTCTAACGGTTTCGATTCCATGTCACCCAGCTTCACAATCAGAGAGCATCAGTCTCCTCAAAATTACAGGTACACCATAATGACGAGTGCCAAATAGCATGAAATCTGGGTCCAGGGTTTCCTGTTGACTACTTCCAACCACCATCTTATCTCAACATAGTGCACGTAATGTCGAGTCATCTAGACTAATGGCCACATTGCAATTTTTTTGATATGATTCGATGTGCACTAAAAAGTACCCGACACACATGTCATTGATCACCACCCAGCGATCAATCAATTGTGAATCTACTGCATTAAAATATATGAATAATATTGGGATTTACGTTTTAGGATGTCTCACAATTTGATTGTGTGAATAGTATAAAAATGAAAGTAAGTATAAGATCCAAGCTTAACATTCAGTATAAAATCCAATATGAGAATTGACTACTGGTCTCTGTTGCTAGTTGTCTTCATGAAAAGTGAACAAATAATCTAGTTGCTTAGATATGGTCATTAACTTTTGTAGATACTTATAGTTTGTTCGTTAGAGTAGGCTTCAGCTCAAAAAATCAGTCATCAGTAATTAAGAAAACTTTCATCTGAGTTGAAGAAATAATGTAAATTTGTAAACATAAAAGAACAAGTTTAACTCAAACTAACAGTTTTATTTGTTGTTATAGAGACTGTTTATAGGATGAACTTTCAACTTATTTATGTACAATAATCAGTATATTAATTAGACTGGTTTTAAAAAATTATTAAAAACCAAGAAGTAATGAACATTTGTTTTGTCCTAGTTTAAGACGTCTCAGTAGTGTGTAGGCATAAATCTGTGTAAACTACGGGATGGCAAATCAAGAAGTTAAACGGTTTCACTGAGAACTGGATGTCCCTAGTTCTCCGCCCTTTTGAAGGTAAGTATACACTACCAAGGACTCCTTTACCGAGAAGAAATAGCTATCGGATATTACCTGAGTGTTTAATGGTGATATGCTTTCTAATTGAATGCTACCTTGTTTTATCTGGTCGTCGTTGATTGTTATGTCGGAATCGCTTATCACTTATACTTGTAAAGCGAGAAACCTTTGTAATTCTTTCGACGTAAAAGTAGGACCACAAAGACTGGTATAAATGAAGATATATTAGCCCGGAAAACACGATGACGATGATCCAAGTGGAAACTATACTCATTTATACATTGATTCATACATATATTTTGATGAATAATTAGGTTGAAATCACATATATGAAAAATATTTACAGTTATAACAAATCATATGGTATATGCCATGCTGACCATAGTTCAGGCCAACGGGATACAAGAATATCGTTTGTTATACACAATAAAATGTCATACGAGAAAACAAAACAACTATTACACTAAATAATCATCACATTGAATGAAAACGGATTTAATGTTGAAGAAAAATCATAATGAGTAAAGCAATGTAATTTTGACTTTTCTTCTTGTTATAAATGGTTGCCTAACTTAGATCATTCCATAGTGTGAACTATGAAAAAACTAATTATGATATAAAATTTATGCATAAATAAGTAGCAGGATAAATATTTGATTGTTTGTTCAAATAGTTTGTTGTTAAAAGTATCTGAAATGGGTTTAGTTTGCCAATAAACTAAACAAATCTTCTTATCATATTATAATTATAAGCGATAGTTTATTCAACTTGAACTAGTTATTATTTATTTAAAAAATAGTCTATTTTTTCAACTATTACAGTCAAATGATTATTTATTGTATATAGAAAGTATATTTTATTTAGTTATTTAAACACATAAATATTGGTATAAAGGAACACCGAATACATATGCGCCACACAAGTTATTTGGTTTGTATGTGGGCTATGATACTTCCCGGATGCCCAAACCAATGCAGGTGGTATTCTTAGGGGGTCACATCCGGAGCCTTCGACCTAAAGCTCTTATCCACAAGACAGTGCAGTAACGTAAGGAGATGACTAATAATTGGTTCATACACCATTTGTTCCTTCAGAATCCTGGAGCTCATGTGCAGCATTGTTTTGGAATTGGGGTTGTCCAACTCCCCGTATTCACCAACCCGGTTAAAGCACCCAACATTTACTTTTCGCCCTCTCAATTTCATAGACAACACCCACGCCACGAGAAGGCAGTGAGTAGGACTTTCCTGGCAGTGGTTGAATACGCGTGACCTTGTGAGAGCATTTCGAGAGGGAGAACCGACTCTCCTCATCCTCAGCCGTACCAGGCCATGTTTTAATGAACTATTGTATTTAAGTTGTAAAAAGCTGTCATCTACACATTCGAAAAGTTAATTAGTTGAATTACTTTTCGTAATTAGTATTAAATAAACATAAAATCCATGCGATGGTTTACAATTCATGATTGATTGTAATTAACGAGAGCACAGAAGTGGGGACAACCGAATGTATTTGAATCCAAAATTACGAAATGTCTTAGTCAAATCTGCGAACCATACAGTAAATACTTCATCTACAAAATATCAATCAGTTGTCTCAGATTTTATTGTTTCTTCGTCTCCATACCAATCACTCTCTGTTCTCGTTCTCTTCTCTCCGATTTTCTCAAGCTTCTATTGTTGATACATACAACTTATATCTGTCGATATCAGTAGCACGCACCATTGTATCATATAATTCATGCTAATTAATAAACGATATTAACAAATTGTAATAAAACAAATCTGTCTCTTTTCTTTTTTTAAGAAAAGAACAACGCTATTCAATAATCCCGTATGTACTAGTTAATTACCTTGAAATAATTAACTCATAACTGTTTTCTTTATTATTGCTCAGTGTTATGAAATATTATGGTGGATTTCCCCCCCCCAGTCTTTCATATAAGCTTTATTTAATTGTAAAAATAAAAACTGTAATCATAATCACATAATAATAATAAAGATGGTAATTATTTTTTTATCACTAAAGTGATTAATTGTCTGTTTATTAAAGTTATTATATACAAGAAAGAAATTAAATACATCAATGATGAATAAAAAAAAATTCATAATAAACAACAGTACAATTTAGGACATAGTTTCCCATAGTAACTAGATGAATATTCTATTGGAGATTAAACTTATTAGAATATTGTATAACCATAGTTATTATGTTGATATTATTTATTTAAATTATTATTATTAATGTATATTAAAATCATAATATAAATTTATTCACAAATAGGTCATAGTGTTAGATTCTTTTTTTTAGGAATAATAAACATTACATGGTTTATTATAAATCTCCTTTTTAAATGTCTTAAGTATGATGTTGTTGTTGTTGTTGTTTTATGCGTTTAGTTTAAAAAACAAACAAATGCAAATTCAGAAAATATATGTAGTTCACATGATAGAATAATTAGTTACATAATCAATTAGACCTGATTTTTGTTTGTTTGTTTAAGTGTCAAATATTATCATTCAAAATAACTGTATACATAATAAATAACGAAATATATTACTTATAATAATCATGGTTTTACATGATATGTGAATTTCAAAAGTATATGAAACTGTTCATTATTATTCATTTAATAGAAGATATTAACAAGACTGTAAAATAATAAAGTTGATTTGAATATATCATTCCATCCATTTGATTATGTAATAAGATTTTAAAAGGAATGAAGAATATTATTTAAGATTATTAGATGAAAAAATGGTTGAAATTCATAGCAATTAGTTCTTTTGAAAAATTTCGATAATGTAATACGAAGACGAAGATTATTAGAATTATTATGTCATATATAAGCGTAATACATTTTGAACAATCTGATCACACATAATGTACTTGTTAAGAACATTTATGTATAAAAATTAAAGGTTAACTAGACAGGTTAAAGGTAAGCTATAACAAAGAAAAAAGTAATGATGATAAAGTACACAAAAACAATGTGACTGCCACTCCGGATAATAAACGAATATTACCAGTGTTGGATAAGATTAAGGATGAATTGTTTTTGAACGCATTGAGAAACATTTGATTGAGACTGGTCATAAGATTGACATCATGTCAGTCTTTCTAATGTTATACAAAAGCCTTCGAGGACGTATACTAAGATTTATTTAAGCCTTTATGAGTTCAAAAACAATTCATCTTTACGCTTAACCTACCCTAGTAATACTCATTTATTATCCGGAGTGGTAATCACATTGTCTTTGTGTACTTTATCATCATTACTTTTTTCTTTGTTATAGCTTACCTTTAACCTGTCTAGTTAACCTTTAATTTTTATATATAAATGTTCTTAACAAGTATATTATATGTGATCAGATTGTTCGAAATGCATTACAGTAATATATCACATAGTTCTAATAATCTTCATCTTATTATTACTTGATCGAAATAGTTGAAAATGATTTATTATTATGGATTTAAGTAAATTATAATTAATTTTTACAATGTTCTCATCCAATTGTCTTTATTAAAATCAAACAAACAAACAAACAAACTATACATTAATGATAAAAATGAGTACATATATAAAGGAATTATAGTACATAGGAATGAAATGGACTCATTTCCTGTCATAATGTTTAGTTATCATTACTTTATAAAGTTGTCATTTTAAGAAAAAAAGTACCATAAAACCAAATGTTTAAAAAAAAAGTAAAATACTACGGGGGGGGGGAGTAGGTGTACATTGTATTATATTTCCAATTCATTACATTGAACAATATAACGAACTTTAGAAGATATATGTATAGACTACTAATTTCTTTTCATCAGTAATACTTTCAATGAAACCACTATTTTTTTTTGTCAAACAATCATGTTATCATAAAGAAATAAAAATTAAATAGAATTTATAGTATAAATTTATATGCAAATGCATATGGATTACAATATTTATATATTCGAAGATAGTTTTGTTTTATTTTAAAATTGTTTGAAACGATAATATTATGGAAATTCAGTTTCATTTGTTTTCTATTTACAATTAAATAGTTTATCAATATCTTCTTTTGAAGGAGTTATGAACGATTCGTTTCTATGATTTGACATAAAGATATACCTAAACATGTTTCAGGTAATGTACCTTGTGCAAATATACTTATCCAGTAAATAGTACTCATTATAAAAAAGCATACAGTTATTAAAGTTTTTAATCCTGTTAAACAATAAGGTGAAGGATAATTATTTACATTAAAATTATGTACATTTATGCATGGTGTTATAGATGAATTGCATAAATGTTGATGTTGACAAAATGCGTTGAAAGCAATAGCTGTAGGAGATGATGATAAATTAGCATGATTATCATTATTATTATCAGTGAGAAAATGTGACTGGCATACATGACAATCAGGTTGATTTAAATCTCCACCCAATAAATTGACATTATTAAGTCTTCGGGAATTTCTCCATCTTAATCCACGAAATGTACCATTATTAACTCCATTACCGGATTCTGAACTACCTGAGCATAAATAATTGTCACCATAGTTCTCCTGTGAAATTATAGTTAGAATAGAAGTATTGTGTAGAATTAGAGAAATTTACTTTTCATCAGTGATCATCTAAATTCATTAGTTGATCACAACAGATATTATTAACTTTAATAACAAACAGATAAATACAAACTCTTATATAAATATATAAATATATATATATATATATATATATATATATCACAGATTGAACTCATGAGTCAGTTGAAGCTAGACCACCATTGAAAACCTGGAAGCACTGGACGGCCGTTTCATCCTAGCATGGGACTCCTCAGCAGTGCGCATACACGATCCCGCACCACGCGGGGCTCGAACCCAGGTCTAGCTTCAACTGACTCATGAGTTCAATCTGTGAAATTTCTAAAATCTCCACAAAACCCATTCTGATAATATATATATATATATATATATATATATATACTGTTGATGTATTAGTTTGTACAGAAGGAATATTCTGCTACATGATTGAGTATTAACTAATGTATTAATCATGTAGTATAGGCAGGATAAAACCTATTAACTCATCGTTGCATTGATTAACCTATAGTAATCCATTTGTATGACAGACTTATAAGTGGTACTCAAGACAGTACATGGTGAAATATAATTAATAAGGACTATGTAAAGGATATAATATCAAAGAATAGTTCACAAATAATTCTAAATTAAGATATCTGTTGATAGGCTAGGTACAGTCTTAATGCAAAGAACATTGATAAACATGATACTATTTATCTATAGATTGTAGGATATAAAGCACATTTGAAATGATATTTTATTACTATTTAGAATACTAACATTCATCGTGAAATATTGTTTCGACTAAAAAATGAATTAATCAATTAGCAAATTAGGTTGTATCCATCGTGTTTAGTAAAACTTTGCACTTAAGACATGATAGTCATTTGATACTGTAAGTTGTTGATTGAGATCATGAACAAATTGATGTTAGACCACTGTTGGAAACCTGGAAGCACTGGACGGCTGTTTCATCCTATTGTAGAAGTCCTGAGCAGTGCGCATCCACGGTCCCGCTCGCGCGCGAACGCTTAACCTACTGGACCACTTTAGTGTCTAATATCAACCAATCCACGAAATTGCGCGACCATCTTCCATTGTACTCAGGTAGATGACTATTTCTACCAGACACGGATTAGCTCCAACAGTGGTCTAAAATCAATCAGTTCATGATCTCAATCAAAAACTTAATAATCTCCACAACCCCTATACTGATGATTGTAAGTTGTGTTGATTTTTCGAATTTTTTTTAATGTTAACATTGTTTAGTCTCTTGATTTCATTAGCTTATATGGTGAATTGACTTCCCTATCGATTACACGTTTTTAGGAATCTTAATATAACCTTTCATTTAGTGAAGTAATAATTAAGCTAGTGTGTTTATGAAGTTATTTCATTTCGAAGACAGTTTAAAACACAGACTGACTGCAACTAGAGCACAATTTAGCACCATTTAGAAGTAGTTAGATATTTCTGTCTGGTCTGACAGACTGCAGTAGTCTGAATAGGCAAACATACCAATGATTAAACCCAGGAATTTTGTCTTATTGATGATGGTGTTACTTTTAGACCACTGCATTGATAGTTAATTGTTAACATCTCTAAATTCAATCGATTTGTGATAATAGACGGTCGGATAAACAAACGTACTTTTTCACAGATTGAAATAATGAGTCAGTTGAAGCTAGACCACCATGGAAAACCTGGAAGCACTGGACGACTGTTTCGTCCTAGTATGGGACTCTTCAGCAGTGCGCATCCACAAACCCGCACCCCGCGGGATTTGAAACCAGAACCTACTGGTTTCGCGCGCGAGAACCCAACCATTAGACCACTGAGCTGGCCGGCATCCGACGGTGTTAATGTCTAACTTCAACCAATCCACGAAGTTGTGCCACCGTATACCATTGTCTTCAGTGAGCTGATATCTCACAACAGACCTGGTTCAACTCCACTGGTAAGGGCTTTAACTGACTCATGATTTCAATCTGTGAAAAATTCTATAATCTCCACAAACCCCTTCAGATAAAATGTACTCTTTGTTAAAAAGATTTTATGTAGAAGCTTCCATGAAGTCCAAACATTCTGATATTTTTCATGTTATTACAACAGAACTTTAGTTTCTAATATTTTGAATTGTCCCGTCCAAACTCCAAAGTGTTATCTAATTAGCTATTGAGTTCAGATACCCAGTTACTTGTACAAAGGGATAAAACAATCGTCCTAGATCCCACTTCCGGCCACATTCCATCTATTCTATATAAATGTTATAACAATGGTTAAAGTTTGAAAATACCAGTCACTGACTCAGTTTGATATTGTTGAATCTGTTTTTATGAAAAAGAATCTGAAAAGATTCTTGTTTATGCATAACTTTAATCACTGAAATGGCTAGGTGAACTTACTCTCTTGTTGGTTGATTGGCCCATTGCTTGTGTAAATCCTAAAGGTCCAGGACTATTATTTGCAGATGGATTTGTTTGCAATATTGGTATGGCTGGACATGCATGACCACTTCCACCAGATAGACCACAACTACTGTTACTATAACAAACGGCTGTACCATTTGATGAAATAAATCCAGTACTGGTTCTTCCTGCTACACAACTAGTACATGAATCAGGGCATCCACCACAGTTCCCACAACACCCATAAGTTTGTATTAATCCTGGTCCATTCATTCGTTCATTAACTGGACCCTCTGTATTAAAACCTGTTGTGGTTGTTTTATTCTGATTTAAGCCAAATGACGAAAAACGATTCAAATGTTGATATTTTCGTTGAAGAAATCGACAAACAAATCGATGATGAATTAAAACAAATAAATAGATTAAACAAATTGAACTTGAACACATTAAACACCATACATTAAGAAATCCAGATAATTTAGAATTATTTAAGTTTTGTTCATTCATCCATAGCCAAAATGAAATTGAAAATAAAAATAGAATTAATTGTGTACAACTAAGATTATGTGTACCCAGTTGATTTGTCCATAGTAGTATAATTGAAATTAATACAAGTAGCATTGGAGGTAAACTACCTTGTAATATTCTTCCACTTTGTGAAAAACAAATATTAATGCCAAGACTTTGATCTGGACCTATAAATTCATTTAAAAATATATGAAAACGATTATAATCAAATAAATTTTGATTAAACTAATTCTGTATAAATTAAAATATAAAATTTAAATTATCAGAATGGGTTTTGTGGAGATTTTAGAAATTTCACAGATTGAAATCATGAGTCAGTTGAAGCTAGACCACCATTGAAAACCTGGAAGCACTGGACGGCCGTTTCGTCCTAGTATGGGACTCCTCAGTAGTGCGCATCCACGACCCCGCACCACCTGGGGCTCGAATCCAGGACCCACTGGCTTCGCGCGCGAGCACTCAACCATTAGACCACTGAGCCGGCATCCAACGGTGTTAATGTCTAACTTCAACCAATCCACGAAGTTGCGCTACCGTACACCATTGTCCTCAGTGAGTTCCTATCTCACAACAGACCTGGTTGAACTTGACTGGTAACGACTTCTCACTAGAACTCCAGAAGTGTCTCCTGAAGTCAGTCACTAGTGAGCAGGTGATTATTATTATCAGAATGGGTTTTGTGGAGATTTTAGAAATTTCACAGATTGAAATCATTAACACCGTTGGATGCCGGCTCAGTGGTCTAATGGTTAAGTGATTTCAATCTGTGAAATTTATAAAATTTAAAGCAATTAGTCCCTTTGATAAATTTCGATAATGTAATAAGAAGACGAAGATTATCATAACTATATGATATGTAAACGTAATACATTGCGAACAATCCGATCACACATAATATACTTGTTAAGAACATTTATGTATAAAAATTAAAGGTTAACTAGGCTGGAAATGGGGTAAGAGGAGATAAGGCTAATAATAAGAACAATAATAATGTGAAAACAATTCGAAACCTAATCACTCTGGATAATAAGTCAATATTACTAGGGTAGGTTTAAGGTAAGAACAAACAAAGGTGGTTTAAATTTTCGTATGGCTAAGGCTTCAATAAACCCTAGTATACGCCGAGTTAAATTAGTTGGGGGGGAGGGTGGCGGAAATTATGCCACCCACATTGAAATCTGGTCGTTTGAAAGTAGACAATTAGTGTTATCATGATTGAGTTGAAGCTAGACCACCATTGAAAACCTGGAAGTGCGGGGTCGTGGGTGCGCACTGCTGAGGAGTCCCATACTAGGACGAAACGGCCGTCCAGTGCTTCCAGGTTTTCAATGGTGGTCTAGCTTCAACTGACTCATGATTTCAATCTGTGCAAATTTTTAAAAATCTCTACACAACACATTCTGATAATTAGTGTTATCTTGGATATTATGTATAAATGGAGTGACATAGCAAAGATTATATAAAATCATTTGGATTGCTTAAATTTAAATATCTTTTATTGAAAATAGTCGACTGAAAAAGTAATTTTTTGGCTAAAAAGATAATACAATCCTGATTGAGATCATTTTATAATACCGTATTACATAATTCAGTGTTATTTATTGCATTTTTCGATCCAATGGACTGACATGTTCTTTTTGAGTTATTCATTTCAAGAGAGTTAATTTCAATTGTCAATTCCAATTAAAATGTCACATGATAAAGCTTGTATGTAGAACAAGGAGTTTATACACATAAATCTTTATAGATAATTGCTTGAATGATGGAATGCTCAATTGTAAAATCATCAATTTAATTTGAGATGGTTTAATAAAAATTTTAGAAGTTCATAAACTTGTTTCAAATATCTTAGAGGAGAACTTGAGGTCGAGATTGAAATGACTAGCTTTTAAATGTAAGTGATTACTTCGCAAATTGTGCGTACTGATTTTTAGCGTAACGGATAATATAATAATTGAAGGTTATGCCCACCTGATGTTTCTTAGCAAGTTATGATAGTCTTAGTGGGTTGGTGAGTGAATGTACATCTTCCTGAATGGTACATATTGACCAAGTTTTGGTCAGTGAACATTTCCAGCTTAGCAAAAATGTATCTAATTTAAACATAATGAACATTTCACTGTATAATGGTGATATATCCGTTTATGACGAGTCAGGTTTTGACGATTGAAGCTAATAAATAATTAGTTAATGTAATCAAAGGATCATTTATGGTGAATTTTATAATACATAATCAAGGTTCGTACCAAGTGGGAAAATTCTCTTCGCCTTCTTAAGAAATTACTGTAAGAAATTCATATTTAGGGGCTTATAGTTTACTAAGTTGCTGACAAGCTTCGTGTACAAGTAATTTATCCACCAGTAATTTTGAAAACAAACCTTATGTCACCTACCAGATTTATCAATATGTTCATCATAGCGTTTTGTCACACTTAGATAAAATGATTTTCTTTGTACATCATTTGAGAGCAGACAACATTTACGTTCAGTCCACTTGATGATCGGTTGTGTTTTCATGAAGCCTTCTGAAAAATTATTAAGACAATGAAACAGTACACTAAATTAAAGAGTAATCAGTGATTAGGTAGCTTTTCATCACATTTAATGAAATGCTAAATATATACAGCCACAACTGAAAAAAACAATTATTAAATAACAAATTAACAAATTTTTTATAATAAAATCAGCTTCATAATTCTGTCTATAAGTTTTAGCTGTAAAATACGCATTATAAAATGCATATAACTTGTAGTAGGTGACGGTCACTCTGATGTATCAAATAACTGTAATGTGATCATAGATATTAGTTGTTCTTGAAATAATGACCAAATTTACTGTGTATTATGCACGTTTCATAATCATTAAAGGTGCATGATTGAGGATTGATAAATCTAGCTTGTAATGATTACCCTAACGGTAATAGTTGACAGTTAAAGAAATAAGCTGGATTATTGACAGTTCTTTAGTACTTGAAAACCTAAATCATGTTCATATGAATGCTCTAATATACTATTTCTCTTAATAGACAGTTGATTTCATTGTGTTCATCAAATCTGAAATTTATCAATTTACTAAACATCCTAACTAGGACAAAAAATACATGTTACGATATCCCGCTGTGAAATAAACTTTCTAAAGGATAAGCGATTTTTAATTATGCCCTACTATTTAAATATAATTTAATAGTTCAATAAGGCTAATTAGGACTATTATTAAGATGTCATTTAATTGTGAATACATTTTGATTACTAAGTAGGCGTCATAAATGTTTATAACCGATTTATAACATTTATTGTATAGCCAAAGTATTCCCTTTTTTGTTGTTGGAATACATAATAAATAAACCGTTTTTAAATTTTAATCTTTGTAGAATCATACTAAAAGTAGGATTGTCATTTTAGAATAGAACTTTGAGTGTTTCAACAGGAGATCTTTATTCTTCTTATTCTTTTTTTTTAAACAAAAACAAATATGTTGCCATGTAAACATAAACATTTAAGCGGTTATAAACAGAAATGATTACCATTTAACTATTTATTTTTAAGGTTTGATATTTTACCCAAAATAATCCAAGTAAAGTATTATATAGTGAAGATAGTTATTTTTTTTCTAAAAAAAGAAACATTCAGTTCCGATGGGTTTACAGTCATTTTTATATAATCAAGTAGTTTAGTGAATGGCGTCTACAGGGTGGTAGTAAAAGTAGAAAGGCGAACTCACCTCTTTAGTTTGCTACTCACCAAAACGTTTATACTCAAAATTGGAGTTATTAAAATGTTATGATTTACTTCTAAAATAATTTCTTTTATTTAAAAAAGAATGAACGGTATACTTCCGTCTATTATTCATCTATGAATTTATTTTATTGTTAATTGTTTAAGATTTTTCATGGATAGCAATGAATCACAAAGGTTATAGTCGGTTTGCTTTTAATTTGTCACAATAAACAGGTGACGGGAATTATTATTATTTATCGGTGAAACAATTGTCGTCAGACATAGGTGTTATCATTTATATGAATCAGAATTGATATTTGATGTGAAGACTTTTGTAAAAATCTATCTCATCTTACTGTTTAAGTATTTGATAAAAATAAGTACAAACAATTATCCATTATCAATTATTTTTTTTAATTTTTTCGTAATGTCGCCTATCTAGTTTGAATAGATGTATAAACCATGTTATAACCATGTTATTTAAATGATTTAAGGAGAATGCTTTTGCGATTTTTTAAAATACAAACTAATATTAAATAGAGAAATGTTAAAAATCAGAACGTTTTGATCAGTCGTTTAACGCTACCCTTGGAACTTCACTGATGTCGACAGATATAAGTAGTATGTATCATCAGTAGAAAGTGAAATGTCTGGTTGCAGAAAGTTAAGAAAATTGAAGAAAAGAGAATAGGAATAGAGAATGATTAGTACGGAAACGAAAGAACAATGAACTCTGAGACAGTTGATTGTCATTTTGCAAATGAAGTATTTACTGTATGGTTCTCAGATTTGACTAATTTTGTGTTCAAATATATTTGATTATTTCTGCCTATGTTCTCGTTCACTACAAGATCTTTCAAACTAAAATGAAATAGATGTTCACAAACCTCTTATAACTCTTAAAATTCCTTAAGACAATGCAACCCCAATCTCATGAATTCATGCCGTCAAAATGTATTTTCATCGTAAATTTAATGTTAAACTTATATGGAATGATTCATCCATGCTTTTGGAACATGTATGAATTCATTGCAGGATGATTATTCTGTTTAAATTTTAAAATGACTGGATAGTTCCTCTGAAAACTAATATGATTTTATTCTCTTAAAGTCTATATTTTAAATGAGAATAATAAAACTTGCTTGTTCCTGAAATTTTAGCAGCTCATCAATTCGAATTTATTTTATATGTATTAAACAGTTCTGTCCATTTCCTTATTCTATAATGATATTAGTACCTCTTTTAAACTTATATACTCATATACTAAAAACACTTAAGGAGAAATGACTTTTCAAAATACCACCGAATATGATTAATCAATATTCTTTACTAGCATTTCATAGTTATTTAGCATATAACAGCAGTTCAACATATTCTGTAATCAAGACTTCGTATGTTTATGAGTAGTGATAGTGATAAATTATAATACTTAGATGGTAGGTTGTTATAACTGAAGTATAAAGGTGTCAAAAGATTTCAAAGTAATTCTGGAACAGAAGCTGTATATCATTTTGTTTGTTTTTTTGTTGTTGTTAAGGTGAATGAGTTATAGAATACTGTTCTCAATCAATATTGATCTTATGTGTTTAACACCAGTTAGAACTTAGCTACTGTACTTTGTAGAAAAGACCAAATTTCATAACTTAGTTTAAAGTGAATATTTATCAAACATTCATAATATATAAAATTAAAAATAGTATAGGTTTTATTTTTACCTTGTTTTATCCATACAGGACAAACAATAGCACCAATATGATGGAATTTTTTTGGCTCTTGACATGGAACTTCCACAACGATGCTATAAATTCGAAAATATAAATGAATTCTCTTATTAGTAAGTGGAATGTGGTTTGGTAATTTTATATCGAATTTAAATAAAGTTTTCAATTTGAAAAATTATCATCTAGATAGCTGTAAAAACTTCTTTCAGATTTTCTCACAGTGAACAACTATTATTCTATACAGCATTCAATTGACGGTATTCAGGTTTTAGTGATGCATGTCCGTGATGAAAACTGATTTGAATTTGAAATGCCTCTACGAATCACTTATATTATTAATAATTTTGTGTACAGTGATGGTTAACTGGGGAACAGGTTGACGAAGTTCTATTTTGAAACAAATATTGTCATTGGTGTGGCTTGGCTTAAATCAGAATAACAAAACTATTTTCTTTCTGAAAACAGCGAAACCCCTAAAATGGTATCAGTGTATAAAGACAAATTATCCCTTTGACATGTCAGTATTCAATGCAAATATATGAATTTACTAAAAAGTAACACACATGAAAATTACCCTTTTTCTTTATTATGTGTGAAACCTAAATACCGTAAACCTTTAGATATTAATGTATCATTCATTAAATCTTATTGGGGTTCATTGAAATACATCCTGACAATTTAAAGTATCAAATGAAGATTTTCTCACGTTTTCAGTCGACTGAGTTTCACAGAAGCTTTTTGTTATTCACCACAAAAGAACCTACCAAAAATAATGTAACATCTATAAACTAATTTCTCTTTGACAGAGTTTTTATTAAGGTTGCCTTTATTGATTTCGTTACAAATTATTGTTAAAAGAAAGTGTTTAATATACATTGTGAAATTGTGATCTTTTACAATTATATTATTGTTTTGTATTAACTCTTCTTTTTTAGTTCGAAGAGTTTTAGGTCATAGAAATTAGTTAGAATATTAGTGAATTACATATATATATATTATCAAAATACTTTATATTCATTGTATATAAACATTATCTATTTAGTACAGTTGAGGTCATTATAAGGACAAAAATGAGTAATTATTTATTAAGTAATATATGTAGTATAAATATTAATTTTATAATTTACAATGAATCACTTTGAATATTTATCTAGTTTATTGAAGATATAGTGCAATTTTAAAAGTTGAAATCATGAGCCAATTAAAGCTAGACCACCATTGAAAACCTGGCAGCATTGGACGGCCATTTCATCCTAGTATGAGACTCCTCAGTAGTGCGCATCCACCATCCCGCACCCAGCGGGATTCGAACACAAGACCTATCAGTCTCTCACGCGAGTGCCTAACCATTGGACTACTGAGCTGGCCGGCATCCAACGGTGTTAATGTCTAACTTCAAACAATCCACGAAGTTGCGCCACCGTACACCATTGTCTTCAGTGAGCTAATATCTCACAACATACCTGGTTCAACTCCACTGGTCACTGCTTCTCACTAGAACTCCAGGAAATGCCTCTTGAAGTCAGTCATTAGTGAGCAGATAATTATTATCAGAATGGGTTTTGTGGAGACTTTTAGAAATTTCAATAGTTGACGAGGCTGGATCGTGAATGAGCACTGCTGAGGAGTCCCATACTAGAATGAAACGGCTGTCCAGCGCTCCCAGGTTTTCCATGGTGATCTAGCTTCAATCGACTCATGATTTTAACTATTGAATTTTCTAAAAATATCTCCACAAAACCCCTTCTGATATGTTACCATGGTTTTTTTAATATTTTTGAAGACTCTTTGTATTAACGCTTTTTAAGTATATTGAGTGTTAATATGAACTACATGTTATAAAGTGTTTGCATGATACGAATATACTTTATAAGATTAATTGAAAATGCGAAACTTTAATATTTGGAACAATTTCATCATTCTTAGAATAGTTCTAGTCATAAATGAGACAGGAAGCTTGTTTTAAATATCCATTGATTATGTAGAGTTTATTTATAGTGTTAACGACAGATTATAATGCATGAATAGAGTTTCCTCTACCACCTGGCTTCACAGTTAGAGACGTTACTACTGGGCTATCCGGGCTCCGAATGGCCTCCTGTAGGAATGAGATGTATTCCTAATTAGTTGATCACTGGGTGATGATCAATGCCATGTGTGTCAAGTGAAGCTAGGTGATACGAGATCGAATCCGTCAGGGAGCACCAGTCCCCTCAAGATTACAGGTACATCTTGCTGACGACTGTCAAATAGCACGAAACCTGAGTCCAGGGTTTCCTGTTGACTACTTCCAACCACCATCTTATCTCATGATAGCGCACGTAATGTCGAGTCACCTAGACTAGTGGTCACATTGCAATTTGTTTGATAGGATCCGATCTACACTAAGAAGTACTTGACACACATGACTTTGATCAACACCCAATGATCAATCAGTTGTGAAGAGGAAATAAGTAGTAAGTTTTACTGATGGAATCTTATTTGATTGATATTCATACTAGCAAATAATTATCAAATCTAATCAGACTAAAGTTTGTATAAACATGATTTAAAATTAAAATATAGTTTATTGTTAAAGTCATTAATTACTGGAGGTAAGTCACCTAAGAAATACTACCATAATTAGCTCTAGAGTATGCAAAACCTCAAACCTTAGATGAAATTCAAGCATACGTCATCATTACTCAATCAAGTGAACCAAATATATTTATTCTAATTTTTCCGTGTTTGTTTAGTAGTTGATGTTTAACCATTTAAAATCAGTTGATATTGGTTTTTATCGGAGAATTAATGTGAAGATTTTTATCAGGTTACTTGTCATTTCAACATCGTTGTATCGAAAAGTAATCTCCTTAATATAAGTTTCAAGGACTTTCTACATCATACCTTTAGTTGTTCGTAAGTAGTTGACGATCTTTATGTTAAGAGTTAAAATGACCATGTAATGTCCCATTACAAGAAGATTGACTAGACTAAACTAAAACCTTAGAAATGTTTCCTTGAAAACTACATATAGTCAAATAAAATAATGGATTTTATATTGTGCTATAGTACTAAGTATTTTTTCGACTATTCATTGCTACTTAAATCGAACTTCAGATCCGTGAAAATCTTTTGTAAAACATTTCTCCAACTGTACACTATCAACATGTTAGGTACTTTGTATCAGATTTTATTTTTGCTATTAACTCTTGATAAACTTTAAGAAAAATATGAGATCATAGAGTTGAAAACTGATTAGATGGTCAAAAAATAAACGGTAATGAGTTCCATTATTAGTTTTGTTCGAAAGGTTTGTTAGTTTTCTAATTAAGTGAAATCTGGCCATTAAATTCATGTATTGGATTCATAATTAATTTACGTAACTATAGTCAAGTTACGACAAAAAAATCACAGGGAATAATATTGAGTATAGTTCTAGTAGATCATTTTTATGAAACAGTTTGTACACGTTTTTCAGTAGCATCATAACTTCATAAATGATAATTTAGCTTTAGAGATCATAAACATCTTAAGTTTAACGTGTTACTGATCATATACTTATAGTTTGAAATAACAATATTTTTAATAAATGTGACTTGGAACAGTCTAGTGCATTTTGACATTCAATGTATAGCGTCAAGAAATACAAACCTTTCCATGAATGAATAATTTGGCCCATCTCCATCCGGAACTACCTTCAACGTTTTAGCGCGATTATGAGAACGGATTGATTGAATTGACGATTCGTTAGGTAATCCTCGTGCAGCTATCCCAGCTTGCGCTCTATTCAAGGAATTTGTGGGATTTGTTGATTTAGAGAATGAATTACTTCCAGCATATAGATTACGCAACTCTAAACGTTGATGAAAACGATCATGTCTGAATGCACCTTTAATAACTAATTGAGGATGCCATACTTTGTCCACATCAAGTCGAACACCACCTCCGGCCATATCGACCAAAGTACTTTCAGTGACTCTTGAGTCAGTTACTGGCCACTCAGCAAACAATGTTAGACTTGCACGGCAAACCTGAATAAAAATATTTTAACAAAATAAATCAATTTAAATGATCATTGCAATAATGAAAGTTTATTTGGATTATAAATGAGTTATATTTTTTGTTCAAATTTCCCTCAAAAGTATGAGGGGTTAGTAGGGACTTTTAGGTTCCGAATTTTATATTTATACAACCTATGAAAAAACAGTAATCATCGAATAGTTGTTCTGTCTTAACACTGAACTACTCGGCTGATGAGTTACAGATCTTATAGTTTCTTATAAACCTTAGTTAAAAACTTTATTTCGGTGGAATACAACTATATACAAGTAGCATGAGAAAGTTTATTATACAGTCAACATTCATAGATAAGCAATCTATTTGTTCACCAAGATATCTCTTAGCTGAAAAGAAATTAAGAACGTTAGTTTAAACATTGATGTATAGATCATACAGAGGTAAAAAATGAATGTGCTTGAGCTATTGAAGTATATTGTTGTAATAGAATAGAATAAATATGTATTACTGGATAAATCTTCTGGATAAAATCTAAAAAATTAACCAATATTTCAGACACATACGCTTTGTTGTTTATGGATCATTCTGGACTATTACAATCATATAGAACGTTTGAATTCTCGATAATTTTCTGATATGTATATGACACTGAGGATGAATGTCTTTCAAAAGCTTTAGTCTTATAGCAAGTATGATAAAATAAACCTGAAATTTACTAGTCTTATAATTTTAATAGTTGAATTTATGAGTTCATCTAAGCTAAACCACCATTGAAAACCTGGAAGCACTGGACGGCCGTTTCATCCTGGTACGGGACTCCTCAACAGTGCTCATCCACGATCCTACACAAAAGAGACGTGAACCCAGGATCTTCAGTGTCGCGCGCGAACACTTAACCTCTGAACCACTGAGCTGACATTAAATGGTGTTAATGGATAATATCAATCGGTCCGTTATCTTGCACAACCCCACATCTACTGTCTGAGATCGTTAACTGTCTTCACCCGACACGGATTGGACCGCACTGTTCATGGCGTTTGATGTCTATGCTAGTTTAGACAAATTTAACCTTGAATAAGTGAAATAATTAAAAGATTTCATAGAATAAAAGTGAAAACTTTTATCAAATAATCGATAGAGTGTTTCAACTTGAGATATAAACAATTTACAGAGATCACATTTATTGATTGATATTAAAAGATCTATTTAACAAACATTGTGATTATGAAAATGAATAAACTAACTACTTAACCTCAATGTAGCTTACAATATAGTGTGAAGAAGATATTAAGTTTATTGAAGAAAATCAAACCATCGATTAACATTTGTACGGATACTTTAATTTATACTGTTGTCATTTAGTCAGTTGAACTTAGTTAATTTGATGACCTGAATTAGACGTATTTCTGATATACTCCGATTATGAAGAAATTCATTTATAAGAAGAAATATATGTATTTGAGTTTGTTGATAATAGCATTGCTGAGAACACAAAACTTGTGATCAAAGTGATAAGAAGTTATAGGGTAAATTGTATGAAACTAAAAATAATAATGATAAATTAGATAAAAACTAGTGAGGATTATGATGGTCCAAAATAATGTATTCCAATGTATACATCACGACCATGAACAGTGAACGTGATAATTCAGTAAATATTAGGAAGTTATTTGATATTCGCTGTGTAGATTGTATTGAATCAAGTTGATGGGATAAAACTCTAATCGTTCCCAATACATAACTCTTGATATTTGTTGATATTCCGACATAAAAAACCCACTGAACATATTCAATAATCAGATCAGTACTGAAGGTATGAAATTCAAACTAAAATATCACTATAACCTATAAACACACCTTTCAATAAGTTTATTAAATAAGGTTTATGTTATACGAGACATAATGATACATGATGAACACAAACCAACATTCATTGACTAATACAAGACATGGTTCGAATAAGGAATATATCTGAACTGTTTAGTCAGTGCACTATTTCATGTGAACTACATTTATTAATTGAAATAAATAATATTTTAAGATCTGTTTAACAAATGAAAATGCATAGACTAACTACCTAATCTCAATGTAACTTACAACATAATTTGAGGATAAGAATTTATACTCTTGTCAATATCTATATTATATTGGAAATATAGAGTTTTGTTTTAATAAAAATCATTGTTCATAAAAAATATTGTATTCTATTTGTTAAAGCTTACTGTTATTAACAAAGATGGATAACGGTAAGCAGTGGAATCTAGAACGCGCGTTTCGTCCTATTTTGAACTCGTCAACTGAATGTGTCTGCATCTCAGAGTTGATGTTCACTCTGTGACTCGAACTCAGTATTGTTCACTTCAAACGCCATCGCGTTATCCACTTAGCTACTGAGTCATGATAGCCAGAAAAATGTTATGTTCAGCTGCAAAAACTACAAATCTAAAATTTGATTATTACTAGTATTCATACTAATACTTTCTTCAAGATCATTTTAGTAATCAACTATTATTCTAGTATTTACTCTTGTCTACTATCTACTTTTATAACATTTTATACTTTCGTTTATTCTAATTTATGTTTCCCTTCCAGATCTATTCTTTTAAATAAAAACTGTAATGAACAACAATAATTAAATCTGCTTTTTTTTCTTTTCCATACTAATTGTTTGTTTACTGGTGTGCTAATGCAAAATGTAATTGATAATTAAGAATTAATTAACAGTTCCGTACATCTGTATGTTTGCAAAGATCTAAGTTGTTTTCATCATTATCATTTAATGACAATAAGTGTACAGTCATTTATTAATATAACACAAATTCTATTTTGTTTTTACCGTAGATCTGATTTTCAGTTTTTTTTTTTGTACATAAATACTGGGATGAAACTCAGTTTCAAGTGTTTCATGTTATTTTTACAAATACAAGCTATTCTTCACATTTGAATGTTTCAAGATCTGTTGTTCTTTGGGTTTAGAGTAGTTCGACTGAATATATTTGATATAAGAAGTTAAATATCAATTGAAGAAAAATTGAAAAATGAAAGGAACTGAACAACGGTTTTACGACCACAAGAGAACTGGAAAAAAACTTTCAGCTTCAGCGATAAACATAGTCGTTTCAGAGTATAATGCTTGAATTTACTGGTGTACATTTACAGTTTCAATCATTTTTGTGACTATGTTTCAGATAAACAACAGCGTTTAAAGCAAACAATTGTGGTTACGAGTCCTAGAATGAACGACAGATCTGGGATACAGGTTTGTTCAACTGATGAGCACCTAATAGGATGGACGGTGCAACCTGGATTGCTCTGATAGTTACATTCTATCTGTTCTATATTAACATGTGACATAATGGTTGTATCAAGGCAATTCGCACAGAGTGCACATATGTCAACTAAGACTAATCAAATTTCAGTTAAAGTATCTACATCAGGACAATCCAAAACTCTTTCACATTTAATTAGGGTGAAAAGGCATATGTATGGCTTTATATAACACATTTAAATTTATTCTTTATTTAGTTACGTTTATATAATAAATCACTTGGTTATAATATGTAACATAGTAGGAATGTCATCATTCGATATTGGGACTACATTGATAAAATAGAAAGTGTAGCTGTAATATTCAACAAATTTCAGAAAAGAGACTTGATAATTTGAAAAGAATAGATATTTGCTGAGTATTTTATGATAAATAAATTACCGCCGAATAATATTTAGTATTATCATTATTCTAAATAACTTAGTTAATAAAAGAATATAAACGAGTATCTATTCCACAACATGTAAGTAATTACTGATATATGATCTTATTGTTAGAGTAAGAATGAACCGATTGCAATGTAACAGAAAGTTAGACAGTTAGTTAAATAGTAAATCTTTTCAACACTCATAATTCAACTTAAAAGTGATGACGTAATAATAAACATAATTCATGAAAAAAAGTTAAAAAGATCCTATTTTGAGTAAGAAATAATCAGATAATTTTTTAACTTAGATGTGATAACCTGTAAAAAACATAATTTGGCAGCAATGAATAATGATTTAATTCTAGTGTGCAATTCCTAAGCAATACTTAACGATGATTTAATGATTAATCTTCAGGTCTAGTTTTAAACACTATAACTTTTTGTTTTACCAAATATTCTGTATCTACATCACCTTAACTAGATGCATATTAGAAAGGTGGATAAACATGTAGAAAAATTCTACAATATATAAACATCTACTCAGTATTTTTTTGAACAAATGCCGATGGACTGAAAAGAAGGACACCTCATCAAGATTCCAAAAAAAGGAGACCTGAGCAATGTGAAAACTACAGAGGCATTACACTACTGTCAATACCGGGGAAAGTCTTTAATAGAGTGTTGCTGGACCGGATGAAAGATGCAGTAGACGCCCAACTTCGAAATCAACAAGCTGGATTCTGTAAGGATCGGTTGTGCACAGACTAAATTGCGATACAACGGATCATCGTCGAACAATCAGTTGAGTGGAACTCGTCACTATACATCAACTTCCTTGATTACGAAAAGGCATTTGACAGTGTGGATAGGAGAACGTTATGGAAACTTCTTCGACATTACGGAGTTCCTGAGAAGATTGCCAATATTATCCGGAACTCATACGACGGACTACAGTGCAAGGTCATGCATAGAGGACAGCTGACAGACGTATTCCAAGTGAGGACCAGAGTCAGACAAGGCTGTCTACTATCTCTCGTCTTTTTTCCTCTGGTGGTCGACTGGATTATGAGGACCACAACATCTGAGGAAAAACACGGGATACAATGGACAGCTCAGAATTAGTTAGACGACTTGGACTTCGCAGATGATCTAGCCCTCCTATCTCATACACACGAACAAATGCAGATAAAGACAACCAGTTTAGTAGCAGTCTCTGCATCAGTAGGCCTCAGTATACACAAGGGGAAAACCAACGTCCTCAAATTCAAAAAGAAGAACAAAAATCCAATCACTTTTGATGGCAAGACTCTGGGAGATTT